GGGTCTTTGTCTGGGAACGAACTTCAAGATTCAGCTCATAGCGCTAATATTTCTAGCAGCGCACTTGAGAAACACAGAAGTTTGCTTCTAAGACAAGTACATCACAGGTCCAACTGCTGCGAGGTGCCATGAATTAATCGCAGCGGTAGCCGGTTTTGCAGGGAGGATGTTCTAAATGTCTCCTGTACAGAGAAAAAATACATTTCTTTTTGCACTGAATATTCTCTTATCAAAAGTGGGAGGGAGGGAGGAGGGTTGGTTGCTCTCTGAGGATTATCTCCAGTGACTATTGCAGGCAATCAACAGAGGCCCTATGGGAAGCCAGAGTGGGCACACTTGTGGGTTTCCCTGTCCAGGGCATCAGACAGGAATATTCATTAATAAATGCTGATTTATACATCTCCTTTACCAGGCAACAACAATGAATCCTGTGCAGAAGTGATGCAGGGTTCTGGCACTGCTGCCAACTGTAACCGCTGAATCCCATTTGAACCATGTTTCTAAAAAGACGCAGGATACATCTTTTCCCCTAAGCATCCTTCTTCAGGCACACATGCCCACAACATTCACCTCCCTCGGTCTAAAATATTTAGATATGTAAAAATATGGGTTACAATTAGGGAAAAGTTAGAATAGATTTGAATGTTTAATGAAACCCCCAGTAGCTCTTGTTTCATTTATGTAGCATGCTCTGAACACAGAATGCTATTTAACCGTATTTGTGGTCCTTTCTCTGAGCTCAGGCAAATGCCATTCACATTTCCCTTGGTTTTCCTTTGCAGGATTTACAGTGGCTTATCATCATAACATGGATTTGTCAAGATACAGGCTAGTCCAGAATGTGAGAGCTCCACAGGATTAATGCTATAAAAGTGCCACTAGAGTGAGGAAACAAACTTCATAGCTCCTTACAAAGTTTTCCCCCCAGATTGGACAACTAACAGTTGTAGTGTCTAAGTACCATCCATCCAGGGAATTGGGGTATAAGACTGAATTATGAGCCATATCACTTCCCCTTTGATATCCAGTGGTTGATCGGGGGATCAGCACATGAGGTTAGGCCTTGCACCACGCTGGCCAAACCCTGTGCAGCCTCAGCCCAGCCCTGCACGCCCACTCTATTGTGCAGGGCCACATTATCCAGCCCACCAGGCTCCCCATGGGTCTGGAAATTTGGCAGCAGGGGAGCAGCAATTAATGTTGTCTCCACTCCCCTACAGCTAAATTTTGTGGCTGTGGGGAGCCCGGCAGGCTGGATGGCCTGCCTCCAGAGCCCAGATTTAGCCTGTGGGCTAGAGGTTGAGCACCCCTGAGTTAAGCTAGTTGGTACAGCTGTGTAGTACATAATTACTTGGCTCCTTGTAAAATAAAATGGTTTTGTGCCCAATTGTTCACTGTTTACATAACAGCAAATGGAGAAGGAATAAAAACTCCAAACCCCAAACCAAAACCTAACCACCCTCCCCACCACAGTGAATGATTCAAAATAAAAAAATACCATGTTTCATGTAAACTTTCCCATTTAGTTCCCAAGTTCATTTCTTTCTTGGTTTTTTACTTATATTGTGCATTACAATGCTTCAACATTTTTGATGGGTTCAAGGAAGGTCAGTTTGATGTTTCTCAACATGCTTTTTTCTCGCAATTTCCAATCCACAAACATTTCAACATGTCTGGTTTTGACCTGATTCAAGACAAGACCCCAATGCACGTGTTTCCCGCAGACAAGCGATTCCATTTTTTCACAAGCTCTAGCAGGTGTCACTAGGATCCTGATCGCACACTTTCTTGCAACAGTAATGTGAAACGGTCTAGCACCCGGCCATTCCTGCGAGATGTCAATAACTATTCGAACGTGTAAAAATGTAACACTCCTACTGGATTGAATGCCATGTCTTTTTTTTTGACTTTTCTAGATCTGGTAGTTTCTGAAATACCAGCCAGTTTCAATGAGAAGTGATTACATTTTGGTTTGTGGCACTAGAGTGAAAACCTCTAGTCCCACACAAGAGTGGATCGGGGGGTGGGTGAAAGGGTCGATCCAGGAGTGGATCCAGGGGGAAGGAGTGGATCCAGAGGAGGGGTGCAGTAGGGGCAGAGTTGCACCTGCTTTATTATAGCATGAAACAGGCCTCAGAGATCACCAGTGTGACAGTGGAGCTCCTGCTGGGAGCCCTATGAGCTTACCAGCTGGTTTGCCTGGATCCCCTGCTTTCCACTCCAGCATCTGCTGCTGTTTGCTTTAACCCCACCCTCCTCTCCCACCCTTGAATTCAGCAGCAAGGGAAAGGAGGGGACGAGCAGCAGCACCAGTGATGCTCAGCCCCTGCCGTCATGCAGCCCTGGAGCTGGGGGACTGCGTGCATTGCCATCATTCATTGTTCGTCCCCTCTCCTCCTTCTCTCTGGTGCTGAATTCTAGCGGGGAGGGAGGCAAGGGAGGGACAGGAGTGGGAGGGGAAGATCAAACAGCAGATGGCTCCAGAGCTGCTTGAAAGCAGGGTTTCTGAGAAGACCCCACACTCACCAGGCAGTGAGCTCCCTGAGCTTCCTGCACATGCAGAGCCTTGCACACATGCTAGTGCGTCCACACCCACTTTGGCAGTGTGGTGCATGTGTAATGAGCTCTCTTCACTGCATATGTACCATGCTGCTGAGATGGCTAGAGGTGCAGGGATGTGGCTAGAGATGCATCCACATACGTCCCTGGATCTACCCATGGTCCCATACACATTCACCCCCACACATTCAACACTGTCAACATATGCATGTATGTACGTGCAGAAAGTGAACATATGTACATCCAAAGAATAAATGAGCTTGGGGCTTTTGTGGGCTTGATAAGCAAACTAGAGATTTTAGTACTTCACCACCATGACCCTGCTAGGAAGTGGCATGAAAATCTCTTTAAAATTCCCAAAGAAACCAATTCAGTCACCAGAACAAGCAAATAAATTGCTGACAATCTATAACATAAGATTAAACAATAGCAACAATGTCACCTCACTCCAAACTGCTGCATTCAGATTTTACCTTTCACCAGCAATCTACTCATGGATTCAGCTACTACGGGGATAAAGAAAAGATTTGAAAGAGAACTCAAACATTATCCATAGAAATCTTCCTAGTTAATGACTGCCAGAAAGTTGTTTCGTGCATTCTTGATCTCCATTTAGATATAATAAGGCAGCGACTGACAGGATCTATCCAAGATTAAATAACACACCTGCTGCTAAGAACACACCTGACATGCACAATACCACAACAGCAAATAGTCACAGTCAGCCTTGGGTTTACCTTCCAAGTCATGTACATTAAGCCACAAATCGATGATCTTGATGTAAACACCTCTGAACCAAAGTAAAAAAACCCCACAGATAGCCCTTTAAACCATTTTCAAATAATTTGGCACTGTACATTTCATTATCCTGATGCCCATTTGGATGGTGTGGTTGGATGCTTCTCCCACAGTTTATTGGCATGGTGCTTCAGTAATGTGGCTTTGCTGCTTCTGCTTTGGGAACTAATGCATTGGCATGGCACTGCCTCGTGCCATATAGATATACCCATCCCATCCCCTCTGTTTTAATCTCCAAGGTGTTATTCAATATAGAAACATTTACTTGTGACAGAGCACAACAACACTGAGAAGGTTTCCACACTGACTCATCAGAGATTAACACTTTTCAGTCAATCTGTGACTACTTACATAGCATGTCAAAATATACCATATATTTGACTATACTTTTCTACAATAACTCTTTCCTAAGGGTGGTTTTGCTGTTGGAACATTTTCCTTTGTATTTTTTGAGATCTGGCCACACTCCTTACAACCTGATTTGATCATAAACCAAGAGCGTGATCCAATACCCAGTAAAATCCATGGGTTTCCTTGGCATCAAGGGATATTGGATCAAGGCTAAGGATTCTAGAAACAAGATACATTGCCATGATCCATAAAACTGAGAGGCAGTGCTGGTCAAAAAAGGGGGGAAAAGGAAACACGAGTAGATGTTTTTCCCCCTCCACATTTCATCCCCGTTTAAAAATGTCCGCCTTTCATCATAATTTCAAACTAGTCAACTATTTCCACAGAGTGTTTGGCAGCAGTATAACTAGGGCAGGGTGGGTGAGGGGGGGCACAAGCCCTGGGTGCCAATTTGGAGGGGAACCAGAACGGTGGCTCCTGGAGAGCCGACAACCCAGGTGCTGCAGCCAGGCAGGAGCACAGCCCCAGCCCCAGCCCCAGCGAGGCAGCATGTAGGTAGCCCTCCCTCTCCCCATCCCTGTCCCCAGCAAGGTAGTATGTAAGGAGCAGTACTTGCTCTCAGGTAAGACCCTCCCATGCTGGCCCCCGCTCCTCACTTACCCCTACTCCTCCCTCCTCTATCCCCGCTCTCAGGTGCTTAGCACAACACCCCCATTTCCAACCACTCCCCCATCACTAGTTGTGCCTCCGGTGTTCAGTAGAGTACATCTGTCTAGAACTTGAAGCTAAGGCACATGTTGCTATCTCATTTCATGACTTCCCAGTAGCTGCTCTTCCTAACTCACCCTGAACATTGCCATACCAACACCTGCATGGTTCTGGTCCTTTAAAGAGAACGTCATGGTGAAGAGGGTCTTCTATGGAGGGTCCACATACATCAACATTTGCTTCCATTTTAAACTGATCAAAGGATGTAAGATTTACTCTGTATGACACACACTGGGGGAAAGCAAGGGCTGGATAGCGGGGCGGGGGTTGAATTCAATTATTCTTGTTAAAATAATGTATATAGACATAGACAGAGGATACACAGAGAGGACATACCCTGTTGTTTTGGGGTGCATTTTGCTCTTGAATAAGCACAACAACTTCTCCTGAAGTTAACTGAAAGTGTCTCTCCAAGGCAGGATCTGGCCTTAAAATGTTTGCCTTATGAAATGTAGGTCAACAATTGGCCATGGGAATGGATACCCCCCTAATAAGTTCTGCTTTCAAATGTTTTGGCTTCCTACCTGTTCCATTTCTGTGAACGTGCTCTGCTCCTCATCCTCATCTTGATCTTCGATATCTGACTCTCCGACAGCAATAGGGACACAGATGGAAAGATCAGGGTTGGTCATAAAATCATCGTTGTCACTTGTCACGGGGCGCTGCCCATTTCTGTTAGTCACATCATCAGTGTGGTTCTCTCTGTGATTTTCCACATCTTTACCAGGCTCTGCTGCGGTATGGCTATTCATACAGTTGTTGTGGGCACCTGTATTCTGGGCAGCAAGTTTCATCATGGCCTTCTTTTCTGCTGTTGTCTTAGGATGCCTGAGTACATTACAGCAGAAATTCCAGATTGTGCGTTTCACGTACTGGAGTCCCCTGTTGATCCGAGCAAAAGCAATTTGCAGATTGTTCAGCTCTCCATCTTCATCTGGTGCTGAAAGGTTGTCAGCGCTGAAAGAGCTCAGCAGCAATGCAAGGAACAGATTGAGCACCTGAAATGAACAGAAGTCAAAGGAAAATTAATGGCACCACCAAACTGAAAGTTAGCATTTAAAACCTATGCCACTCCACTGAGATCCAGCAGATTACTTCTCCGTTACACAGGGGGTAAGAAAGAAGAGAACCAGATTTTTTCTTCCCCAAACAAATCATTTTCAGGTGCCAGTTCTACAGCTTATCTTTAGCCACGCTAACTTGAAAAAAACCAAAACTCAGATGTGGAATAAAAGGACGATATTTATTTGGAGCTGCTGAGTGTAAATGTTCGTATATATAACTGTAGCGTTTACTCCACAATATTACTAGAAGCCTAGTTTGAAGCAGATAAATTCTAAGGCTAAACGTGCCTTACAATTCCAGTCGCATGTTGCTTATCTGTAATAAAGGAATATAGAAAGAAAAGCTGGCTCGACTCTCTTGACTTCTATGGAAACCAAGTATTATTTATATTCCACAGCATATGTCGACATCACTGTGCACAATGCATAAGGTGAACAGTATATTTGAAAGCACATCCATCTATCTGCATTAGTTTTAAAGGTCTAGACTGAAATAAGTTGACACTCTCTCAAGTTTTAAGGATTTTGGATATCAAGTAGGAAAAGCAAATATGCACTAGGATTGAATTCAGGATTCCCTCCTTTCCTCCACTTAGGACAGCCAGGGCTGAGAAGTTTGGACCTGATCTAAACCCCACGGAAGTCACGGGCTTTGAAATAGGTCCCTTGTGAATACAAGTAAGTGCTTATAGCACTGTGAGATGGCCGTTGTGAATAGCTTAGAGAAGGACCGGAATTATGAGGACTGTTTGGGATTTTTGGAAATATGAATTTCTCAGTTTGCTGCCCACACATGCTAGAAATCTTTATTCCAAAGGTGTAGATGATAGTGCAAATTAGACAGTGATATCATATATGACATCTTCCCCTGGTTCCTAGTAAAATAATAGAAGACACACAGTGAGAAGAAAAAATCCAGTAGCATCTTCAGTCAGACCTGACCTCTTCTTAGTTATCAGCAACTCACTGGAGTCACTGAGAGCTTTGGCTGTGTAACAGGTGTGAAAGGGCATCAAGAGTTGGCCCCAACAGATTAGCCATCTAAAAACCACAGAGATCCAAGTTTACAAGATACCAATGTAACCGGTTTCAGAAGCGGCCTCTGAGTCTGGGTGCTCCTGACTTTGCATATCTGACTGAAACATGGTGGATCTGATCCTCCGATGTGCAGTGTAGTCACACGTACCACTGAAGTCAATGGGAGCGGTTGTAGTTAGCACTTCTCAGAAACAGACCCCGACCACCTCAAGTTTAGGCCACATTGGCAAATTCGGAGCCACCTTCAAAATGGCGAGGCACAGAACCTGAGTTTCTGCTCCCTTTTTCTGATGCTAAGTCTGGAACTGATAACAGGGCCATTGAGCGCCTGTGTGATTTGCATATTTCAATCTGTCAGCAAAGTATCATTTTGGTGATGGTGCATTTGGCCAACAAAGAAGGTGAGCCAGATTCAACCCCCTCACCCATGGGCAGAACACATGGAACCACTGAATCTGAATGGGTCTAATTGCTTTTACTGACTGGAAAAAAAAAACCCATACCCAAGTTTGAATAGGAGAGAACCAGGAAAACCCCCATCCCCAGTTTGAATAGGAAAGAACCAGACTGAGGGACCCAAAGACACATGCGAAGATCCAGGCTGGGTAGGAGACTGTAGACTCCACTGTGTTCCTGTAATTTAAGACCTCTCTAATTTGGCTTAGGGAGAAGCCAAATGAGACTAAACAGGCATGTGGCTATTTGCTGCTCTCAGCTCCTTTATTTTTCCCTTTAATGCTTTGTTTTACCTGATAAATAAAAATACTTTGTTTTACGGAGGTGGTTGGTCACTCATCACTACCTGCAGGTTCCCAAAGGGAACGAGTACAGAGGTCTCAGCCTCATTCAGACCTGCAGGCCACTTAAGTGGTTGGTCTCCACGGGGCATTGTAGCCTCTACAGCGAATCCTGTTGGCAGGGTGAATTCAGTATCCTCAGGTACCTGACCCCTAAGAATGGAAAAGTCATGGGATTTCAGCCAAGACAGCCTGAGTCCATGACCTCAGAAAGAGCACAGCATGGGATCAGGTGGAGCGAGCCTACAGTCATCACAACAGTCCTTTCATAGCATCTGACAAAGTACTCTCTAAGTTGTAGGGCCGCATGAAGCTTCAGGTGCTGATTCGATTCGGAGGAGATTTGGCCCGATTTGGTGGCCAAATCTCCAAATCCGAATCAAACCAGGGGACCAATTAGAAAGTCCGAATCGATTTAAAGCTCTCCGAATCAATTCGAAAACGATTCGGAGAGCTTCAGCGATTTGGGCAGTCCCTGCTCACTGCTACAGGCAGCTGGACCTGGACTCCGTGCTGGTAAGTAGAGGGTGGGGGAGGGGATGCTGGAGGAGGGGACCATGGGGGCCCCGTCCCCTGCCTGCTCCCCCGGCCCCCCCAGTGCTCCAGACCCCCATCCACTCTCCCAGCCACCTCCCATGGCTGCCCTGCCTGGCCCCAGCTCCTGGCTGTTTAAAAAAAAAAAAGCCCCCACTCACCAGGTGCTGCTGGGGGGGTGAGGGGGGGAGGGTAATCCCCGCTGCTGCCCACTGCCCCCTGCTGCATGGGGGGGCTCTGCCACAAGTCCCCCGACCGCTCTCCCAGCCCTTGCCATGGCTGCCCCGCCTGCCCCAGCTCCCGGCCCTTTCGATCACCGAATCGAATCACTGTCTCCTGAATCGGCCGAATGTGAACCCGAAGCAAATACTAGCCGCTTCACACAGGCCTACTAAGTTGCCACCGTGTCCTGCCTTCTGCCTGACTTCAAATGAACAAGGCTGACCACCTCTTTATAACCAGAAGTTACTGTGACTTTAAAGCTGAAATGCATTTATTCCAAATGCACTGTCTGCACAACCACTGAATGAGATGCTTGGCGAGCCTCCGAAGTTCTCAAGGATTTTGCCTGGTACAGCTGGTTTTCGATAGCCACTGCAATGCATTAGATCCATGTGGAGAAAGCTTGTTCTTGTTCACAACCACATCTCAGGTCACACAGAAGCTACGTCCAGACCTCCTGAGTTCCAGATTTTAATTAAATTCATTTTTGTATTAACCTACAATTTATTAATCATTTTATTAGCCTACATTAAATGAATATGGGCGTGTGTTCATCCTGGCACGGACCTTATTGAACAACTATAGGACTCTCTCTCTCTCTTTTTTTTTTTTTTGATTATTCAATATGTATGCACTGGAAATTCTGCAAACTAGTGCGGCCTTAATCCCACTGGTAACACTTTATTTGAAGTGCCCTGTCATTATTAATTGATAAAGTAATGATTGTAATCACAATGATTAGAATAAATGCATTTGGCATTAACGCAGATGCCCCACATCCATTAAGAATCACATTAATCTTCCCTGAACCTGCATAAACATGTTTGAACTAGCTGACGGTACCCATGCTACACATTAAAGTGAAATTAAAGCTAATTGTCGGTAGCTGGTCAGGCGGTTGATTATGTAAACTCATGTTCGCTTCAGACCGTGAAACAGGCAGCTTGTGTGATTCCCATTTTTGCCCTTGTAATCTCCTGATAGGAAAGTGTCTTCTGTCTTTTTTCCTCATTTGGACATATTCAAAAGTCTGCAGTTCACTAGATAATTAAAAACCAGGCCATGGGGTATGCTGTCTATCAGCTGTCCACTAATGTGGACACTTACACACAGAACCAACAAATATAACGATGGGCTGGCTACCAGCAGAGTCATTAAGAAAAGCCAAGCTATTTATCACCATGGTGAGAGGATTCCCATAATATACATCTCAAAGGTCTGCTGGGTGCATTCTCAGGATGAACTGGAATCCATATCAATTTTCCTCAAATTAAATTTAGGAGGTCTGGCTCCCGCCTGCTTATACCCCTGTGCAGTCACTTCCACGTATGCACCCTGTGTGTGAATCAGCCATTCTGATGAAGTATCCTTTTATACTGTAGCTCTGCATGCTTATAAATGGTGAAGCAAGGCGAAGATTGCGGAAGCAGGCCCGCAGTAGATGGGATAATTTTGCAGATGATCATGCTTTATCACTGACCCAGGACTTTTGCTCTCATTTGAAATACGTTCAGTTGGCTGCTACCCTCCTTGTTACTGCTTTTCAGGGTCTTCTCCATAGCTGCATAGCTTTAAACGCACACCTGCTGTTGGCCTCATTCTTAACCTGATCATTTATCACTGAATATCAAGTCAACATCATTTTCCTTTCTAGAATACAGCTGACATTTTGCACAAAGAGCTATTTACAGTTCAGGATTTTAACAAAAACTCTCTCAAACATCATTCCCACTGTCCTTATGAACAGACTGCATCACAAAGTTTATTGTCTGGTGTTTAAATAGAGCAAACTGCAATATTAGCACTTTGTGTTTACTTCTATCACTTCCCCTCACACTGTGTTCTCCACAAATATACACACTCGAAATCACGAACCATAACATTTATTGTAAAGCATTACTGTATTGCAAATTATTACTAATATTATCTACTTTTCCATAATATTGTTCTCCTTGTGGCTTAAAAAAAGACTTTCAGTCTAAGAAGCAGCGAGCGTGGGTCTACCGATCTCAGTTTTTGAAAACAACTCCTGATTTGGCATGCACAGCCTAACAAACCTTAAATAAAGAAGTCTGATTCCAAAAAAGTACTGAGCAATCATCCCCTGACAATGAGGCCATTTTGAGGTGCCTCCAATTGAAAACTCCAAAACTGATATAGTCCCCCAAGTTCTTTTGGAAAATTCAGAATAGTGGCCTTAAACACATATATGTGATGACTTCACATTTTAAATAATGTAATGCTTTTTTTACTTCAGTCTTCATGAAGAAGGTCAGCTACAGATGACAAGCACAGTTGGCAGCAAAGATGGGGAAAGAGGCAAACAGCTTAGAGTAGCGGAAG